CCTGTACATCAGCTTCTGTAACTAACCCCAAAGCACAAATGCATGACTTTTTTATTAATTTACCATAGACTGTCAACAAGTAGGGGAGAGCACATATTGCACAGCACATGGCTTTGCACTGAGAAAAGAGACACCTGTCTCTTCGATCAGATTCCTCTGACACATTGTGCATACGGGGCCTTGATAGATACCCACACAAACCCAACCCTACCCTAAAGCCAGTTCTAGATGTGGGGATGGAAAGTAGAACAATGCAAGAGACATCCAAGACTGTAGCATGGAGGAGACAGACCTCTAACAAGCAAATACATGTATTAAGAAAAGGAGAGGATGTGGGGTACAGAAAGTAGATCAGTGACTGCTAAAGGCTGAGGAGAGGAGGAATAGATATGAGGTTTCCTTTGGGCATTTAAGAAAATGTTCTGAGGGGCTGGGGATTTAGCTCAGTGGCACAGCGCCGGCCTGGCAAGCTCAAGGTCGTGAGTTTGATTCTTGGTACCAGGAAAAAAAAAACAAAAAATAAAAAAAAAATTTTAAAAATAAAAACATAAGAAAATGTTCTGGAACTAGGTAGTGGTAATGACTGGGTAACATTTTGAATGCATTAAACGTCATTGGATTGCATATTTCAAAATTGTTAAAATGATAAATTGCATGTTATACGTATCTTACCACAGTAAAGGGGGGCTTTCAGATGTAGTAAGTTCTAGGAGAGAAATGAGGTGGGTGCTGTAACAGAGACAGGATGGGGCTCGCTGGGAGCAGATGTCAGTAAAGAGCTCAATATCTAAGAAATGACTGATGAACAGCAACAAGCATCCACAGGGTCCAGGACAAAGTGGGACACAAAGGTGAAAGTCAGGTGGGAGAGATAGCAGATGCCACCACATAGCATCGTACAGAGAACACAGGGGCTGCGTGAGCTCATGCATGTGTCAGAAGGTCTCTGGCAGCTGTATAGAAGATGAGCATGAGGCACAGGGACCCTGAGAATGTGGCCACACTAGAAACGTCTTCAGGCAGGCTGGCATTCAAGGTCAAGACTTCCGTGCCCAAAAAGGGAATACATGCACCAGGAGTAGGAGGAGCAGACCAGGTGGGTGAGGTTACCATGGTTGCTGGGTGGTCCCTAGGAAACAGTAAAAGTTCCTCATCCCACAGCTTCCCTGAGGACAGCAGGAGTGACAGTGCTGGGACAGAGGGAGTGCTAGGGAGGGTGACTCCCTCCAGTCCTGCATCAGGCTGCATCTGCACAGGCCTGCACATATGCAGGAAGAAGTGGGTCAAGTGGTGGGAACTCATCTTGAGCCCAACTATCGGGAATGGAGGTAGTGAAGGCTGGAGCCCCACTGGGCTTACAGTCCTCCACAGGCTGGAATAAACACAGGCCAGTGTGCCAGGAGGGAGGGATACGGAAGCTCCCATAGGGCTGGCTGCATGCTGCAAAGTCCCAGAAAGAATAAGCCAGTGTCCTCAGGATGCAGGCATGGCTCATATTAGAGGAAAAGCAGGAAGGATACCACAAGAGCTGTCTGGCTCAAGCAAGCACATCTGGTTGAGAAGATGGCACACAGAGGAATCAGTTTAACACGGCAGAAGTAAGCAGGCATAGCAGAGCCAACACATCTAACTGGGGAAGCTTCCTGGGCCATGACAGCCATGTGGACGCTGACCCAAGTCCTCTGTCTCCAGGCCACACTCTGGTCCAGCCCCAGAAATAACTGAGCAAACATAGATGGGGCAATGAAGTTGTAAGGTCTGTGATTCTCAGTCTGGGTGAGATCTTGGGGTACAAGGGGAAGCGAGAGGGGAGCAGACTGTATCAGCCCCAGGGATGTTGGAAGGGCTGACCTCCAACGGGGATGCAGGAGCACAGTGTGACATCAGAGTCTCAGCATGACAACATAACCCCGCGGTGGACAGCAAACACTGTGGGAAATATGATAAAACCGTCTACAGGACAGTAGAGGAGCGAACTGCCAGACTGGGGGGCCTAGACCTCCCACAGGTGGGACAGTATGTGAAGAACTGTACCACAGTGGAAAAGGAAAACAGAAAAGAAGTCACGTGGTCAGGAAATGGTGTGTGCTTAGCGATGACCCCCACCTCCTCTCCTGATCTCCTTTTCGAGCCTGAGCCTTCACTCTGAGCCTTCACCCAGGCATCTTTCTGTGGTCCCAAAATGTATGTCCCAGGATCCATAAAACCCCCAAGTTTCTGTGATGTGGAATGATCACACATCCAGTGTTAACACACCAGTGTTAACACACCAGTGTTAATGCCCAGGCTCACCGGGCACAACTCAAGGACCACCAACTTCTGAATGACACCTTGCCCTGCCTGCCCCACCCTACCCCATGTGCCATCAGAGTATTATCTGGGCCCTAGGGACAGTGAGGTAAGGCCTTCCAGGAGCTGGAAAATGTTCCCAGAAAAGAGAATGGGGAGGGGATAACTTGGACAAGCAGGATAGGGGATGACAGCCAGGAGCAGGACAGTGTCATCTGGGCTGACCAGCACTGAGCAAAGTTGCACTTAGGGATCCCAAGAGGTTAGCACAGCTCAACAGGGGCACAAAAGGTGCTCCCATGTGAGCAAACTAGGGGAGAGGGCCTGGAAAGCAGGTGTTTGTGTAAAATAGGGAAGAAAAAAGATGCAGCGGAAGTAGCTGGACCCCTCATGCTCCTGACTTGGGCACAGGTAGCTCCTGGCACTTGAGTCAGCTCTGCTTCCTAGGATCTGTCCATTCACAATCAGGGGCCAAAGCCCATCCAGTTCACCACAGCCAGCACTTAATAATGTTGGATAAGAGGCTGACTGAGTGCTTGGGTGGACAGATGGAGGTATGCACTGATCAGGTAATTGGGGTCTTGAGTTCAGAAATGAATGACTGGAAAGACATCTGTCAGCAGACCCTCAGTCATGGGATGTGCATCTTGACTCCACCTCTTAGCAGTTTTAAGGGCAGGCTGGCGCCTGATAAACACAAAGCTCACAGAAAAGGTCCCAGTCTTTGCCACCCTTGATCATGACTCAGGATTTAAGCACACACTGAGGATTCTGTATGCTAGCCAAAATGCTTCTGCCCCACTGAAGCAGGGCCAGCCCTCCAAGTCTCCCCAGTGGCCTGCCCTGAACATTTCACAGAGGCAGGACAGTAGCACAGGACTGGTCTGAACAGAGTCCTGACCCACGACATGTAGACTGCATGTTCTCCCTCTTTTCCATTCTTTATAAATCAGAAAATCAATTACACAGAAAATAATCTTCTGCACCAGAAACCCAAATGACTTTATGCATAATTTATACATGAAAATGTAGATGTCGGTGTGTGACAGATCTCCATATAAATATTTTTACAGTTAAATTTTTAGGCATCAGTCTTCCTCCTAAAGAAGCAACAGACAGACATGAGGTCCAGGGTTGGGCCAGGTGGGGCTGAAACAGTGGCTTGTCAGCTAATGGTGCAGCTGCTAGCACAGAGCCTGGCCCGGAGGCCCCAGCCTTGGCACCAGCCACCCGGTGCCAAGTCCCAGCTCTGTGCAACCTTCTATCCCTCCGCTGTGACTTGTTCAGAATAAGGATTTGACACTATGTAGAGCTCTGCATGAGACGCTGGAAGGAGGGCAGAACAGCATGTGGCCTTAGGCTCCAGTGGCTTTCAGTCCACTGGGAGAACAAGAAGGCACACTCAGTGAATAACAATGACAGTGTGGTGAAGCCCAGAGCCAGGGTAGGCCCTCCAAGCCAGCCAGCAACAAGTATTCCCTGTGCCAGGAGCATCTCCAAAGACTCCAGGGGCAAAGTAGGCACTCAGGGAGTTGGCCAGGTGGCTGAAGGCAGGAGGACATTCCCAGTAGTGAGAACTCTGTGTGAAGACCAGAGCAAGAGTGAGCAAGCATGTCTGTGTGTGAGCAAGTTTGTACTGGACAAGCCAGCAGTGAGACTGACGTGGAAGACAAGAACCAGATTACCGGTGGGCTGTATGTCCAGTGCTGAAACAGGGCTTTGACTGGACTGAACACTTGGAAGAGATTAAAGCTGCATGCTGCTCAGTGCATGGCCTGAAGGCTGAGTGGAGAGTAATGGAAGCAAAAGGAAGCAGAGGAGCTTTGCAAAGTGTACACGAGTATGGAGTCCACACAAACAGCATCTCCCCGCAGGACCCTGAGTCAATGCCAGGCCACAACAACCTGTCTGTCCCGGCCTGGGGTCCTGAGCTGGGCCTTCATTTCCAGACACACTGTCTGGGAGCTTGATGGACACATGCCTTTGAATATAAACCACCTAAAAGGCAGCTGGGCCCTGGCTTCTGTCTGCAGCCACTTTTGCCATCTGTGGCTAGCAGCTTATGCAGGACATTTCCTGATGCTCTCTCTCCAGCCTCCAGCCTGGATCCAGGCACAACCTAGGGTCTCCTCACATAAGGACATGGGGAGAGGCATGGGCATGGTGCGAGAGCTAAGCCTGCATGCAGGGGAGAAAGTGACTAACACAGCACCCTGGTCAAAGCAGGGGTGAGGGTCACGAACGTGCCCCCTCACCCACCATGCACTTGCCTGCATGCAGTTGTGCCCAGATTGTCTGCACAATCTGAGGTCCCCTGGTGCCTTCCAGCACTTCAGCCTCCCTAATAAGACAAAGCAAAACCCAGCCATGTTGGTGCACACCTGTAATCTCAGCACTCAGGAGGCTGAGGTATGAGGATCATCATGAGTTTGAGGCTGTCCTGAGCTATATAGTCTGGCCTTGTCTCAAAAATACATTTTAAAAAAGACAAAGCAAGTCCCATTTGCCCACCCATAATGGGTCCAGCAAAGCTCCTGCCACAACCTATACTACTGGTCAAAAACTAGAAGCCCAAGCTAAGGACCTGACCCCCCCAGCAGCAGTGGTTCAAGGATTCAGCCCTCCTCACACCAGAGCCGCATTTCAGAAGAGCTGAGCTTGGCCTCACTGACTTCTCCACCCCACGGGGACTGCAGACTCCAGGCACATACCTCGCTTGACCTTCAGAGGCCTGAGGCTATCAGCCTGCACCAGGGCCTCCCGGGCCTCTCGATCCCTCCAGCGCCTCAGCTGCTCCTCCCGCATCTTGTAGAAGAGGATGTGTTTCTGCACGTCACTGAGCTCAGCCAGGAGCTCAGGGTCAATGTACAGATCATGCAGAATCTGCTGCAACATGGTACCGGATGGGGTGCACCAAGACAGTCGGCTAGGTGATGCCCTAGGGCACACTTCAGCCCCAGCTCCTTACTCCAGGGCCAGCTCCCACACCCCTCCTCTGTACATCACCACTCCACCTCAGCCACCAGCAAGCACTGAACTCATCTCCTCTGCTCAGGACAGCAAAAGAAGCCAGGCAGCAGGAACTAAGGGCCACAAGCAAAAGTAGCCACCAGGAGCAATTTTAACTCTTCTGCTGGGTCACCAAGCACCATGTCCCAGCATCGCCTGTATCTTGGCCTCGCCTGGGGCTTGGCGGTGATGAGGAGGCTCTGAGCTCTGGCTCAGCTGAGCAATGGCAGACTCAGATACTCAGCCCAGCCTGGGCCGGTAGGTGTCGAATGATCTGTTAGTGGAAGGTAATGATGACACCAGTCATATCGGTGACGCTGGCCTGGCCAACTGATCTTTCCTCTGCAGATAACAGGAGGAGGAGAGAGAAGAGAGGAGGCAGCATTGTCTACCAATTCCACGTCTTTTGAGCCAATTTCAAACAGAAGCCGGAGGCACTAGGCAGGAACTTTAGACTCCTCAGCCCCTAGCCCTACCTACTCCACCACTGTCGACCTTCTGGGGACATGTGGCAGGCCAAGGCAATGCTTTGAAAACTCTGCCATGTGCGAGAAAATATCCTTCACCCTTCTGCATCAGCCAAGGAGGAAAATGAATGGAATCAATAGAGACAGTTGAGGTATGTTTTCGTGGAGTTCAAGGACAGGAAGGAAGCAGACACCCTTTTCCTATAATGAGACTTCAAAGCTAGGATGTGCTGACAGACAGACCTGCAGGGGCCACTGTCGTCCTTGTATCTGATTTCCATGTGGTTGCACGCGCCTGGCATTCATCAAAAGAAAGAACATGAAGCTTCCGGGTCTCTGGGCCCTCATCCAGGCAGCCCAGCCAGAGTAGGATGCTAGCTCCTGCTCTCAGAGAGTCTACCCTGTTGGGCTGTGAGGGTGAGTGGAAACTGCTGCTGCTGCTGCTGCTGCTGCTGCCCAGCTGCACCCCACAAAACTGCTCCCCTTTATGAACAGGCCAGGCTGAGCCTCCTCTTCGGAGGCTAAAACTCCCCCAAGGCATGCTCAGAGATACTCATAGCTGCTTTCATTTGAGTGAGAAAATCGGGGTTCAGGGAATGTAAGCAGCTTACCTGTGTTGCGTAGTCAATAAGCTGCTGGGCTGGAGCTCCATGCAATTTCCAGGGTGGACATCTTATAACAGGGAGGTTGGACCTGTAGACGCTCATGGACAACTAAACGCTTGGCATTTCATGCCTTCGTTTGATGGCTCCTTTATTAGCTCAAACCTTACGCATGCTAATTACTCAGGGAGGGCCTGTATTACAAGATCCATTAGCCCTAAGCTTACCAAGCCTACCTCATACCCCTTTGGGACTGAGGACATCAAGATAAGAATAACTAAAATAACTTTCAGAGTCGCAGAGCACCCAATTGGCAGTTTGCACAACTTACAGTTCCAAACCCCCTGTGCTAGTGCCTGAGACTCCACAGACAACTCTGCTTCCAGGAAAGCAAAGCCGTACACAACCCTGTGAGCTCACTGCCCCAAGCAGAGCAGCCGCCCCCTGCCTGAACCCGACAGCACCTCACCCAGCACCGAATGCTCCTTGCACTCTCAGGATTCCTCCAGGCTAAGAAACCAGGACTTGACAACGACACGACACTGCAGGCCCCTGCCCACTGCAGCACCCCCACAAAACTGCTCCCCTTTGTGAATGGGCCAGGCTGAGCCTCCTCTTTGGCCTCCTGAGCCCTTGCTTTCCTTTATCAGGGTGCTGGCTTGATCTCTGTCAGAGCTGCTAACACCCCCAACTTCATTTTCTCTGACTTTCCAACTAAACAGCTTTTCCCTTTAAATTCATGCTGAATGCCTCAATTTTAATTCCATTATCACCAAAGCAAGGGCCTAAGCTAGTTGGTGACAATCCCATTGATGCTGTAAATAGGTAATCCTACAAAGGAAGGGCAGCTGGCACTGTGGCCTGGTTGGATCAGTGGACTTCAATGTGGCTTCTCCTCCTTGGGGACAGAAGGCAGATCAACCACCTGTCGAGAGGGACAGGTGGTAGGTGAGCACCCCTATCCTCTGCAAGGGCCACACAGCCCAAGAAGAGCTCTGCAGGTTCCAGTCAGGCTCGAGCGGAAGAGGGACTCGCCACACTTCCCCCGGCACAGTGGGCTGGTCACAGGGTGATCGCTTGTTCTGGGGGCCTGGCTCCACCTGTCCTTGCTCTGCTTCCCCAGCCCAGAGCCCTGGCTCCCTCCTCCTGCATGGCTCCTCCTAGCCTGTCCCGCCTCCGGATACTGCTGCCTCTGCACCCAGCTTTGGCCCGTGGAGCTGCTCGGGAAGGCGGCAGGGAGAAAGCATCTCCAGGCTTTGGCCTCCTCCGGCGCAGCGCCTCTCCTTTCCTCCTACCGCCACCGGGGCCTGGACACACAGGTGGAGGCGGGGGGCCTGCGGGGCGGCGGCGCAGAGCTTGCAGACGAACCAGAAGGGCCGCCCTGGTGGTGGGGACACTGAGGGGAGAGCCAGGTCAGGGGCAGGAGGTCAAGCAAGCCGACTCTAATCGGGAAGCCAGGCGACACGGAATCCAGGGCCAGATAGGTTCCGACCTCCTCGGCCAGGGGCCAGGTCCGCAGTCAGGCTGCTGGCCCCAGCGCCCTGGTGACCTATAGGGCCCTGTGGGGACGCAGAGGAAACCCGGACCGTGGACAGCAAGGCGGGCGGGGTGCAGGGACGGACCAGGTGTGCCCCAGAGCCGAGCTGCGGCTCCGGCTCGGACAGGTTCCCGCCGCCCCTCCTCCGCGGACAGACCGCTGCACTATGGAGCCAAGCCTGCCATCCAGCTGAGGCCTCTGCGCTGCCCGGTTCTGTCCAGGGGAGCAGAGGCAGCGCCGGGAGGGGCAGTGTCGCAGCGTCACAGAGTCATTTCTTTTAAAAGTTTGTGTTTGAAACTAAGAGGAGGCAGCGGGGAGGGCAGGAAAAACATAAAATAAAAATTGTTTGATTACTATTGTATAAACAAACAAAAAACTATTGCTATGGCAAACAGAAACACCTAAAGAACACCCAGAACTTGGAGGCAGATTTATTTAACATCAGCAGGTACTGACAAGGAATCTATTGTTCCTCTAAATGTCAGGCCCTGATTTCTGGTGGTCCGAGGCTTGTATGGGATAAGCAAGTAGGAAGTACAGAGGCAAGGCAGAGTACTCTCTCTGTTTGATTGGTTCTTATGATATGCATCACTGGATCAGCCGTTTCTAGGAGACAGAAGCAACTGAACTGCATGAAGAACTATCACTTGGGCAAATAAGGAACAAGTATGCTGGCTGGGGGTCATTTTCTGCAGCAGTATGACTTTATACCAAATTGCTTAGCAGTTTCTTCTCCGAATGGGATGGAGATCACTTACTATTCTGTTGTTTTACAAAAATTAACACATAGAACTCATATACCTGAAATCACATTGTTTCAAAAATCTGAGATGTCATCTGCAAACACAGATCTCTGGAGACCCACTGGGCGGGATGGGGACTCACCTGTGCCCACTGCCCGGAGCCCGCTGGGCCTCATCACCAAATTGTAGTCTTGGCTCAAACTCTTAGCTGCACTGTGGTCCTGGCCCCCTCCTTTACTGTTTTTCGCCTTAGCACTTACTTTGGTTTTTTGTTTGTTTTTATTTTAAAGAGAATAAAAATAATAAAGAAATGGTTGTTATTTTGCATATTGTTGTCTTCACAGTAGTTGTTCAGATTACCAGACACAAGCATGGAAAACTCGTCAATAAAAATTAAGCATTAACTTCCTTTCAATAAACCAATAGAAATTAGTAGTACAATTATCTTAGCTATCTTGTGTGTATATGTATATGTATATGTATATGTATGTGTGTATGTATATGTATGTGTGTATCCCCCTTCTTTCTTTTTCTCTTTTCCCTGATCCCAGTTGTTCTTTTCTCTTGAGCATTTTCTTTTCCTTTCACAATATCTATTGTATCTTTCAGAGTTTATTTACTCTTTCAGTTTCTTACACTAGGGAGACAATATGATGTTTACACATGTGGGGCTGCTTTATTTCACTTATGAGTATCGTCTCTAGTTGGATCCATGTACCTATCAAGCACCAATGTTTACAGCAGCACAATTTGTAAAAGGCGAAAGATTTATGCGATCTGAAGAGAAACCAGAGTATAGCAGCACAATTTGTAATAACTAAATCTTGGAAACAACCCAAATGCTCATCAACTGAGGAATGGACAAAAAAGCACTTACTTTGTAAAACACCACTGATCCACTTACTTGGTGACCCTGCTCCTGTCTCAATTTCTCTAACCACCTGAGGGCAATGGCTTTCACCTGGTTGGCTCTCTGACAGAGAACACTGCCTAACACAGGGCCACACTGGGCAAATATTGAAAAAACAATGAAGGAACAACTTTCCAGGTGGCACTGACCAGAGCCTGTGCAAAGGCTGGGGAGGTGCCCAGGTGGCAGAACACTTGCACCCCGGGCTCAAGGGCAGACGAGCTAAACTAAGTGGATAGTGGCCCTCACACAGGCCACCTACCTTGGCTTCATGTCCTGACCACATGACCCCTAGGAGGTAGGGTCAGAGATGGTCAGAGGACGCCATCGTTTCAGCTGAACCTGATGTGGTGGCACAGCCACCACATAAGGATCAGATAGAGGAGGATCCTCCTGTCCTTCTGCCCACTCCCAAGAGCTCATGGATCTCACCTGGTCTCAGTTTTGCAATTGAAGGGCTCAGTGAAAGTCAAGAGTAGTTTCTGCTTGTCACTACTGAAAAACCACAGATATAAAGATCAGAGGTGTCCTAGTATGAGGACAGCAACAACTTAGGAAATACAGTGTGAAAGAAGATCCCTCTCCCATAGGAACCTGTGGAGACCTGGGATGAAGAGAAGCAGACCT